CCCACATAACAAAGGAGTGGCTACGGGCCAACTCTGTGAATGTCCCAGCCAGAGCCCAGATTTGATCCCGATGGAACATCTCTGGAGAGATCTGAAAATGGCTGTGCACCGACGCTCCCCATCCAACCTGATGGAGCTTGAGAGATACTGCAAAGAAGAATGGGAGAAATTGCCCAAAAATAGGTGTGCCAAGCTTGTAGCATCATATTCAAAATGACTTGAGGCTGTAATTGGTGCTAAAGGTGCTTCCACAAAGTATTGAGCAAAGGCTGTGAATACTTATGTACATGTGTTTTTGTTTCCTTTTTTTAATAAATTGCAAAGATTTCAAAATGAACTTCTTTCATGTCATTATGGGGTATTGTTTGTAGAATGTTGAGCAAAATGTGGCAAAAGTTAAGAGATGTGCATACTTTCTGGATGCACTGTGTGTGTATGTATGTATGTATGTATGTATGTATGTATGTATACACTATATTGCCATAAGTCTGCCTGCCTTTACACACACATGAAATTTAATGGCATCCCAGTATTAGTCCGTAGGGTTCAATATTGAGTTGGCCCACCCTTTGCAGCTATAACAGCTTCAACTCTTCTGGGAAGGCCGTCCACAAGGTTTATGAGTGTGTTTATGGGAATGTTTGACCATTCTTCCAGAAGCACATTTGTGAGGTCAGCACTGATGTCGGGCGAGAAGGCCTGGCTCGCAGTCTTATCCCAAAGGTGTTCTATTGGGTTGAGGTTTGTTCCTACAAAGTTAGGAGAAAGCATGAAATTGTACAAAATGTCCTGGTATGCTGATGCCTTAAGAGTTCCTTTTAGTAGAACTAAGGGGCCAAGCCCAACCCCTGGAAAACAACCCCACACCATGATCCCCCCGGCCCCTCCTCAAAACTTTACACTTGGCACAATGTAGTCAGGCAAGTACTGTTCTGCTGGCAACCGTCAAACCCAGACACATCCATCGGATTGCCAGACAGAGAAGCATGATTCGTCACTCCAGAGAACGTCTCCACTGCTCTAGAGTCCAGTGGCACCGTGCTTTACACCACTGCATCTGACGTTTTGCATTGCACTTGGTGATGTAAGGCTAGGATACAGCTGCCCCATTCCATGAAGCTCTCTATACACTGTTGTTGTGCTAATTTGAAGGCCATACAAAGTTTGCAGGTCTTTAGCTACTGACTCTGCAGACAGTTGGCGATGTCTGCGCATTGTGCGCTTCAGCATGTGCTGACCCAGCTCTGTCATTTTACGTGGCCTACCAGTTTGTGGCTGAGTTGCAGTTGTTCCCAGTTGCTTCCACTTTGTTATAATACCACTAACAGTTGACTGTGGAATATTTAGTAGCAAGGAAATTTAAAGGATGTACGTATTGCACAGGTGGCAACCTATCACTTTACCACGCTTGAATGCACTGAGCTCCTGAAAGTGCCCCATTCTTTCACAAATGTTTACAGAAGCAGTCTGCATGCCTAGGTGTTTGATTTTATACACCTGTGGTCATGGAGGTGATTGGAACACCTGAATCCAATGATTTGGAGGGATGTCTCAATGCTTTTGGCAATATAGTGTATATTATAAAATTTTTACTTGTTTTTTCTTACTTTTTAGTGCAACAAATAGACTAAAAGACAAATGTACCCACTATACAGCCAGCTGTAGCATTCCCATACTTTTTTTTTCATATAACAAGGCATATTTTAATATTCATTTCACAATGTCTTTTCCCAGTCCAAGGTAACTGTAAACATTACTGACTCTGCCAATGAAACTGCAGAATAGAATGCCTGTGGTTATTATTTCAAAATGCTCAGCTCTTTTGGTTTTAAGGAATGTTTGAACCTAAAGAGAATTAAATGTTATTGTACAAAGTTTTCCAGTATGTTTATCTTGCATTGCTTTATATCTTATATGTGTTACTTTGTAATTATTTTAGTATTTTCCAATATAAGTGTCATGGATGCCTCTAGAGGTTTTAACATCAGGAACTTCAGGCGGTTGAATAAAAAAATTTAACAGATTTCCCCATTTCACAGATGAGGAGGGGGGATGGGGAAATCCTCCCTGCTCTTTCACTATATTCTGACAGCAGGACTTCCAGCCAAATATCGATCCATGTGTGCCCAGCTTTAGGTCTTGGAACCACGACTATCAGAACTGCTGCAACTCAGTCTGCTGGTGGAATTTGGTGTTGCCCATTTACCAATTTTAAATTACTTTCAGATAAATCTTGCACTACTGTATATTCCTCTTGGCTTATAAAGCCATAAGCAAGCATGCAGAGTTTAGGGAATTGGGTTGATTTACTAAAGGTATATATACTGTGCGCTGCAAGTGCAGATGCTTTACAGTATATCCGAGTTGAAGCTCTTAAATGAGGCAAAGCACTGCTCATTTCTTTCATCCAATCATGTGCAAGCAAAAATGCAGTTTTTTTTATTTTCCTAGCATGTTGCCGTCACCTGCACTTTTAGGCTACGTTCACACTAGCGTTGTGTGCAGGCGGCAGAGAGGCGTTTGGGAAGCGTTTTTACCGTTTCCCAAACGCCTCTGCCAATTCTGCACATTACAGCACATGGCGCTGTTCTAACGGGAGCGTTTGCGTCGCGTCGTGGCAAAACGGACGCCTCTGGTCGAGTCAGGGGGCTTTGAAGCCTCCTTTTCTCGTCTATGGTGCCGCTCCGCAAATGCCCAGGCCGGCGTTTGCGTTGCGGTTGCGGGGCGTTTGCGGAGCGGTAACACCACTCAAACTGCATTATAGGCATTTGTGGGGCGTTATTAACGCTCGGCAAACGCCTAGCAACCGCTGCTAAACCACGCATGCGGCGTTTGCGGAGCGTTTGCCGGACCAACGCTTGCCAAACGCTATAGGGGCGTTTGGCAAGTGTTGGTAAAACAGCCAAGTGTGAATGAGCCCTTAGTGCACTTCCAAGTGCACTTGCAGTGCACAGCCTATTTGCCTTTAGTAAGGCTGGCCATACATTATACAATTATCTGGAGATTTTTGGTTTAGATTTACCAAAAACCATATAATAGGAGGACAAACCTAAACAACACTTTCAGTTGTATCCAATTAGGCAGGCCCTTGCACTACACAGTTGAAGGTAAATCTAAAGGAAATTGGGCAGAAAATTGGAAGATAATTGTATAATGTATGGCCAGCCTTAGTCAACCACAATGCCTATTATCCCTTGTTGACTGCAGGTAATTTCTGACAAGATAGCCTCCAAGACTCTTACAGTGGTCCCACCGGTGGTGCCGGTTTCTGTTATAAAACTTTGCAAATAAATAATTGTTCTTCTTAAATTTAGGCCAAGATGTATTCTGCTACATTTCTTTGGTGAAAATAACCCAAATCAATATTTATTATTTAGTCTGTAGGAAAGTTATAGAGTTCACAAACTATGGGACATATCTGAAAATTGATCAATCCTGAAGTACTGACAGCCAGTCTAATTTCTTGAGACCCAAAAATGTCAGAACAGTACAGATATCCCCCAAATACCCCTTTTTGCAAAGCAGACAGTCCGATGTATTTCATAAGATGGTGAGTTTTTCTAAGATGCCATTTTTTTGTCATAATTTTTCAGAAAATGAAGAGATTAAAAAAAATAATTTTCACAATTTGTTTTTTGCATACTGTCACCAGAGCAGTACAGCGTCATCATATAACTGGTGTGGTGATAAATCAGGGACACTGGTGACAGTATGAAAAAAATTTTTTATTTTTTTTCAAATAAGTTTTATTTTTTAATTATTTTTGTATTTTGTTTATTAATTTTTTTTCTCCTTTTTTAAGATTTTTTTTCATATTGTACTATGACCAAAGTAGAATAATGTTACCATAGTAACATTGTATTACTTTGGGGAAGTGATCAGTAATTTTCTTTCTTTTTTTAATTATTTTTTTTTCATACAATTTGATTGCTTATAGTAAATAATTTATTTGCTATAAGCAAACATTTAACTGAATGAAGTCAATTCATGCAGGTTTTTTTGTTGTGATTAGCTGTGATTGGCTATGGCTAATCACATGACACAGATGGGCTGTGATTGGCCCAGCCTGTGTATGTGATCGCTGTGACCATTCACAGCTAGACGCACTTGTATACAATGGATGGCATGAAAAGAAGCCATCCATGTTTTTACAACTGGCATGTGATTTCTGCTGTGATTGGTCACAGCAGGTTCCCATGGTACTGGCAATGGGCTGGTGCAGAGATCTGTCATCGGCCGTGTCCAAGGTACACAGCCGTGGCAGATCTCGCCACAGCGCAGCCCTGCGGGGACGCGCAAGGTGCGATCCGGGAAGGACGTCATATGACTTCCTACCGGAGCGACAAGAGTCTCGCCGAGCTGTCATTTTACTATAGGCTGGGCAGAAAGTGGTTAAAGATAATAAACTCAAGACCAGAAATGTAATGTATTTGCAAATGGAAAAAGAAAATGCCCAGAGGACTTAACTGAGTCATGTTTAACAGGTTACAAATATGCAGTACAAATACATCAAAAAATGTAAAAATACAAGTTCTGTTGAGAAAGCATTGACAGTGATCACTACATTGTCGTTGGTCAAGGTCTTGTAAAAGTCTCATGTATGAAATGTAATATATTGCAGCATACCAATCATTAGACATGGTGGATGTTCTAGCTTTCTTTTCTAGGCTTTTTCCACTCTGTTTTCTTGCGATGATCTGGCACATTTACAGGCGTTTAGGCGCATCAAGTGGTTTTTTTTACTCAACTGTTCTCCTACTGAACACACAAGTGATGGGTTTCTTATTCAGCCTCTAAATGATCCTCTTCTTATATACCTGTAAATGCTTATGCATGCATGGCCACATACGGCTAATGCTGGGCACATATATTTTGTTTTGCTTAACCGCTTCCCCTCAGAAGTACTGCTACAGAGCGGCAGGGCTGTGCAAAATCATGTTATAAATAGACGTGATTTCCATTTCCAAGTAGGGGGCGCCATTGGTGGCTACAGATATCGATCACCAGGTCCTGGCCAGAGATTCCCCGCCAGGACGAGTAACACTGACAGCGGAGAGACCTGTGTGTAATGTTCTCTCGCTGCCACACAGTAACATCGCTGCTGTGTATTTTCTCTGCACAGCATAGACATACACAGCAGCATGTCTCCCTAGTAAAACACACACAGCACAATATGTAAAAACACACACTGTTAACCCTTTGATTGCCCCAAGATGTTAACCCCTTCCAGTGTCATTAGTACAGTGTCAATGCTTTTTATTACACTGATCACTATATTAGTGTCATTGGGATGTCAGTGGCAGTTAGTCAGTTCCCACCCAGTGTCAGAGTCCCCTGTAAGTCACTGAATGCTGCCCGCAATTACCAGTATAAAAAAAAATAAAAAAATAAAAATTCCAGTATATATAACCGCCATTTGTAAACGCTATACCAATCATTCACGTAAACGATGATACCTACATGTATTTTTTTTTTTTAAGCAAAGACCATAACATACAGATCGCATGGGAATGGCCCCCAAAAAATATTCTTGTTTTCTGGGCCTAAAATTTATGAAGAAATTAGATTTTTTTAAATTTTTTTACTGGATATGTTTTATAGCAAAAAGTCAAAAATATTGTGGTTTTTTTTCAAAATTTCGTTTTCGTTTTTTTTGTGTTTATAGCGCAAAGAATAAAAAAACGCGGAGGGTGATCCAAATACCACCCGAAAATAAAGCTCTATTTGTGGCAAATAAAAGGACATTAATTTATGTACAACACACAAGTGCATGACTGGCGCTCATTGTGCATTTAAAGTAACACCGCGCCGTATCACAAAAAATGGCCTGGTCAGGAAAAGGGAAAATGCTCTGGAGGGCAAGTTTAAACTATCAAAAAAACAAGCAATGTTGATGCAGAACTCTCCCAACTAGCTAATTGCTTGCATTTTTGATGCATTTTTTCTAGTTTCTCCCGCTTGAAACAACACCACCTCACAAAACCACAATTGCAGAAAAGCATGAAAAAAATCTGAAAAAAACAGAAAACACACTGAAAAACGCATCAACTGCAACCTTCACAGGTGTGAAACTACCATCAGCAGGTAATTAAACTTTGTATGGGGACTAGAAGAAGAAAAAACTTCTAGTAACAGTGTTCATCACATATGTTATTTGAGTTCCAGTTTAAATTCTTCCCAACTGCAGTATAGCTAAAAGGTGGCTACAGTGCAGTCATTCAGTTCTAGGAGGGCGTCTACATTTATTTATTTATTTCAGGTACTTATATAGCGCCATCAATTTACTCAGCGCTTTACATATATATATTGTTACATTCACATCAGTCCCTAACCCTCAAGGGTGTACAATCTAAGGTCCCTAACTCACATTCATACATACACATACTAGGGACAATTTAGACAGGAGCCAATTCACCTACCAGCATGTCTTTGGAGTGTGGGAGGAAACCGGAGTACATGGAGGCACAGGGAGAACATGCAAACTCCAGCAGGTGGGGTACCATGGTTGGGAATTGAACCAACGACCTAGTACTGCCAGGTGGAAGTGCTAACCTTTTAGCCACTGTGCTCCCCATAACACCAACAATGGGGCGTTATTCCTCCCAAACACACCGACAATGGGGCACTATTCCTCCCAATGATGCCAATGATGGGGTACTACTACTCCCACTGATACCAATGTAGGGGCACTATTCCTCCCACTGATACCAATGATGGGGCACTATTCCTCCCACTGATACCAATGATGAGACACTATTCTTCCCACTGACACCAATAATGGGGCACTATTACTTCCCAAATGAAACCAATGATGGATGGAGCACTATTCCTCCCACTGACACCAATGATGGGGCACTATTACTTCAATGAAACCAATGATGGAGCACTATTCCTCCCACTGACACCAATGATGGGGCACTATTACTTCAAATGAAACCAATGATGGGGCACTATTCCTCCCACTGACACCAATGATGGGGCACTATTCCTCCCACTGACACCAATGATGGGGCACTATTTCATCCCACTGACACCAATGATGGGGCACTATTCCTTCCAATGAAACCAATGATGGGGGCACCATTCCCTCCACTGATACCAATGATGGGGCACCATTCCTCCCACTGATACCAATGATGGGGCACTATTCCTCCCACTGATACCAACATTGGGGCACTATTCCTCCCACTGACACCAATGATGGGGCACTATTACTTCCAATGAAACCAATGATGGGGCACTACTCCTTCCAATGACACCACAATGATGGGGCACTATTCCTTCCAATGAAACCAATGATGGGGCACTATTCCTCCCATTGACACCAACATTGGGGCACTATTCCTCCCACGATACCAACGATGGGGCACTATTCCTCCAAAAGACACCAACAATGGGGCAACATACCTCCCACTGACACCAAAGATGGGTCATTATTTACTCCCACTGACAATGGGACCTGTTTTACTCCCAACCCTCAAGTTTGAAATGCAGAACACTGGCCCTTTGTTTAGGAAATTTGGAGAATCCTGTTTAAGTCATCAAAAAGCTAAATTCACTCAAGTGAATCATTGTAGAGAGTCAAGAGGAGTCCTCTAGTGTGGCCATCATTTGCTGTTCCTATATGAAGCTTAATGGCGCCGCTCTGAAGCCAGATAAGCAAGATAAATCACCCCCTCCAGCACGGGAATGAAGGGAGCTGCGTCCTTAGCCTTTTCCAGTGCCTAGGATGAGATCAGGGGGAGCGGATGCCGCTCAGGACCAGCCCCAGGGCCTATAGATATCCTGCCAGAACCATGCACCCCCCAGGGCATGCACCTGGCGTACACTGTGATCGCTGTGTCCAATCACAGTGGCCCTTTACCATGTGATCAGCTGTGTCCAATCACAGCTGATCACATTGTAAACAGACTTGCCTGTTATTGACAATCCTTTCCACGCACACTGTTGCAAGCAAGAGGAGAGCCTGGTTTCACAATTCAGTGCCCTGATTATCAGTGCTGGCTATCAGTGCTCATCAGTGCTGCCTATTAATGCCTCCTCAGTGCCACCTATCTGTGCCCCTCAGTGCCTTATCAGTGCCCATTAGTGCCCATTAGTGCTGCCTCGTCAGTGCCGCCCTTCCAGTGCTCATATCAGAGCAGAATCATCAGTACCTCCTCATCAGTGCCCATTAGTGCCACCTTATCAGTGTCATTTCCATCAGTGCAGACTCATCAGTGCCAGTGCAGCTGTCAGTGCGCATCAGTACCGCCCTTTCAGCACCCATTAGTGCCACATATCAGAGCAGCCTCATCAGTGCCCATTAGTGCTGCCTATTAGTTCCCATCAGTGAAGCACATCAGTGCAGCCTCATCAGTGCCATTCTATCAGTGCAGCCTCATCAGTGCCCACCAGGGCAGCCTATCAGTGTCCATCAGTGCCGGCCTTCCAGTGCCCATCAGTGCCACATATCAGAGCAGCCTCATAAGTGCCTTCTCATCAATGCCTATTAGGGCTGCCTATCAGTGCCCATCAGTGAAGCATATCAGTGTAGCCTCATCAGTGCCCACCAGTGCAGCCTATCTGTGCCCATCAGTGCCAATATCAGAGCAGCCTCATCGGTGCCCCATTAGTGCTGCATATCTCATCAGTGCCCACCAGTGCCACCCTTCCAGTGCCCATCAGTGCCACATATCAGAGCAGCCTCATCGGTGCCCATTAGTGCTGCCTATATGCCCATCAGTGAAGCATTATCAGTGCCTCACTCAGTGCCACCAGTGCCCTATCAGTGCCCATCAGTGCCACATATCAGAGCAGCCTGCATTCATTGTGCCCATTAGTGCCGCATATCAGTGCCATCAGTGCATATCAGTGTAGCCTCATCAGTGCCCACCAGTGCACCTATCAGAGCAGCCCATCAGTGCCACATTATCAGAGCAGCCTCATCAGTGCCTTCTCATTGGTGCCCATTCAGTGTCCCATATCCAGTGAAGCATTATCAGTGCCCACCAGTGCCACCCTTCCAGTGCCCATCAGTGCCACATATCAGAGCAGCCTCATCAGTGCCCATTAGTGCTGCCTATCAGTGCCCATCAGTGAAGCATATCAGTGTAGCCTCATCAGTGCCCACCAGTGCAGCCTATCAGTGCCGCCCTTCCAGTGCTCATCAGTGCCACATATCAGAGCAGCCTCATCAGTGCCATCAGTGTAGCCTCAGGAGCGCACAACAGTGAAGGAGAAAACAATTACTTTGCGAAACAGAAACTAAGAAAAACTTTTTTTTCAAAATTGTTGATCTTTTTTCATTTGCTAAAAAATAAAAAATCCAGTGGTGATTAAATACCACCAAAAGAAAACGCCATCTGTCTAAAAAAAATGATATAATGTGTACAGAGTTGCATGACCGCTCAATTGTCATTCAAAGTGGGACAGCAGTGAAACGTGAAACTTGGCCGGGCAGGAAGGTCGGGGTGAGAGTGGCCGGATTGGTTACTGTATGGACATGTGCTCTCCCATGTAGTAGCTGTAGTATTGGTAGTAGTCGGAATGCAGAGCCCCATTGTAGGAAGGCTCACACTGATGACAGACAGGTCTGCCCTGCAGAGCCCCTTCCAGCTGTTCCTCCCCCCTCCCCTCCCCCATGCACTCTGTCCTCCCGTCCAGTTGTTCGTGTCCTCATGTCTGCCCCGTCAATGCGGCCCATTGAGACAACAATCACAGAGCACAGGACAAGCTCACCTATGACAGGAGGGCTGAGCAGTGCGCTCCGAGGACGTGTGCAGAGAAGAAGGCTGATTGTAATGATAGGGGAGGGACAGAGGGGGCAGGCTTCCCTCCCTCCCGAGAAGAGTACAGGACGAGCGAGGAACTCCGCACTCCGCACTGCACACACGGGGCACCGGGCTCCGGACACTGCACCAGCGGAGGAAGCATGTGCTGCACTCCTACCTAGGACAAGGACTGCTGATGAAGGTGCCTTCCATCTCCCAGGAGGAGAGCAATGGACTGACTGGCATAGTACATCCAATCTTAGTCTAGACTTCCACAGCCTGGGACAAACAATGGATAACTTCTTCACTGAGGTGAGACTGCTCTGCTCTGCTGCCTTCTGTTCTGTTCTGCTCTGCTCTGCTCTGCTCTGTGCTCCCTGCTCCCTTCTCTTCTGCCTCACTTCATTGTTTGTTTATGGAAACTGCAACCAAACGAGGAGATCTCTTTGATGTCTTGTGACTTTATTGATGAATACAATGGTGTGTTATCACATAGTGGTGTCTGAATGAAGGGGCCATCCTCCTCCTGTGCACACCTATGGGGCTTACTACAGGCAGAACTAAGGCTGGCCACACATTACAC